AGGAAAGAACACGTTTTGAGAACTTGGGACCCCAGTTAACAGGGAAGTCAGGTGAAGATGGGAAGCTGGGCCCAGGCGTCATCGATCTTACTCGGCCCGAAGATGCAGAGGGTGAGTACCTTTTCCCTAGCTTGAGTTTCTGAAGGTGAGTCTGAGTTAGACATGGGATCCTCATGGCCATCCTTGGGAGTCACTAGCTGGATTCTCTAGGCAAAAAAAAAAAAAAAGAAATGTTGATCCTTAGTATGTATTATAGTTGAGGACTTTGAGATACTGCTGAATTCTCTATTACTGAACACACAGCAATTCAAGTCCCTCACAATACTATTTAAAAGTTTTAGTGGAAAATCCCCTACATTCCCATGAACAGATCTCAGAGTATCACCTACCTCACTAGATTGAGAAAAAGAAGACACATACAACGAGGACTTCTTTGAAAAATCTAGATTAAGTAATTCCTACGCACAGTAAACCAGGTGGAACTAACGGACAGGTTCAGTAGAAGCCCCCTGGTTGCTTAGGGAAGACCCAGCTCTGGGCCTGCGCACTAACCGTGGCTGAGGCCTGCTCAGTGTTTGCTGGAAAGAGCAGCCTTGCTATCAGGATGTCTACCTGCAGCTGTGTCGATGCCTGTCTCCTGCTTCCTTTTTGTTTGTTTGTCTTAAATGCACCAAGCAGCCGTCAGCAGAAATTGTTCCCCAGAGGCTGGGAACAATTTATAGGTTAGGTCAGCACTTTGCTAGTAATGTGGCCTGGTTATTTACTGTGTCATCACAGAGTGGGGACTGGCTTTCCCGTTAGCTGTTTCTTTGGCAGAATCCATCCCACCAGTCAGGGAAGATTAATTTGCTCTCCTAAGAGTAACAGGATCCTTTAGCCATCTCAGATCCTAGTGCAAGTCCTATTTAGCTTGAAGGGGAGAATCTTGCTGGTTACCCTTTTACTGGCAGAGTTTCTTACAGGACCCTTAAACACACACAAAGATAGTTCTCAGCAACATCTGAACAGGGCCTCCCCAGACAGTTTGGAAATCCCTGGTCTGACCCCTGAGAGCTGGGTGGTGGTGGACGGCAGCAAGGCCTCAGGGTCTCCAGAAGGCATGGCTCCCATGTCAGTTGGAGAGACTCATTCTTGAGGGTACTGCAAAGGTGTGAAGGGTCAGCATACATGCTGAATGCTGTGTGTATGTATTTCTGTGTGCTTGTGTGATAGAAAGAGAGAATGCAGCAGAGTGGAAAGAAAGAGACAGAAGGGGAGGGGAGAGAAAAAGGAAGGTGAGTGGAAGTGAGGGACAAGGGATTTAAGAACAGGACTCTACCTGCTCCCCTCCATGAAGAGTGTGTGTCAGGGGCACAGCGACACTGTCAGAGGCACACTGTCATTGCCAGCAGGCTTCCACTGGTAAGGGTTGAGAGTCTTCCGTCTGGCCAGCTGTGAATTCCAAATACTTGACATGGCTAATAGTTTGACTATGACACAGACATAGTAGGTGGCCTGGCCGTCTGCAAAAAGAGCGTTTGAAATCAGGCCCGTCTCAGTCTCCTTGCGAAGTTGTACTGTGGAGTGCCTAAATCTTTGGCTAGATAGAGTGAGGCAAGCAGTCTCCATCACTTTGGGGGAATCCAGTCTGTTCATTTGGCCATGAACCAGGAGTTGCAGAGCTCTGTACCTGACCCTTGCTCTGCCAGCACTTTCATTTGATTTCTTAACTATATATTAGCTATAAATATAATGAGTTGCCTCCCAGTAATGCTGCTAATCAAGTTGATGAGATTGTGTGAATGGAACTGTTGGCCATTATAAAAAGATAAAAGCCTTAACAGCAGAGAAAAATCTACAGAAGGATTGTAGAAATTCCACTCAATACCCACATTGTATAGCTTCAAATACAGTTTCCTAATTACATTTTTTAGCAAACATCTATCTAGTGTTTATATGCTAGAGAATCTGTTATTTTTACAGCCTCTTCTCATAAATATTTAAATACTCTTTGAATAAATCATCATCATCATCATCATTATTTTTATTATTATTATTATTATTATTATTATTATTATTATATAGGGTCTTATTATGTAGCCCAGGCTGACCTTAAACACTTGATACTCCTACGTCAGTCTCCCAAATGCTAGCTATATTCCATAACACCTGGCTGGTATTATTTTTCCCTATTTTACAGGTTAAAAGATTGAGGCTGAAAAAAATTAATATGGTGTAGTTGACAATGCCAGTAATGATAGAGCTAAAAGTAGATGGAAGATGCAGGTCCAAGCTTCCATATTATGTATCTGTATAGTTGGATAATTGTAATGCCTTTATTTTTACTTTTTTGAACAAACTTCTTGTGACCTTCCTCAGTAAGGCCCATTTCCTCTCCCCTAAATATAGCTAGTCATGCCATACATCAGTTCTCATGTTACCCCATCACACAGAGCAGCATGCTGATGAGTGTAACAGTAGACAGGCTGTAGTGGCCTAGGAGCTTACGGAGCGTGTGAAAACCTCCCTTCAGAAGCTTGCCCAAAGTTGCCATTGAGACCTCATGTGCCTCTGGGGGACTGTGAGTTCATGAATGGAGTCGAGTTACCTGCACTAATATGGACAGCAGTGCAGTGCCTTTGTGAGGACTTCTGGGATGGGGAGCAGGCTTTTGCTGACTCCAGGCTAGTTCTTGGCATCTGTTCAAGCCTGAGCTGATTGCAAATCCTGCTGGAGTTACAGTTCATGTTAAAGTCAGGATAGTTAGCAGGTACACATAATAGTCTTTCTACTCTGCTTGTTCATTTTCCCCTCAGCATGAAGATTGGAAAAGGGCTGGAGGGTCAGAGTAACAACAATCAAGTATATTTACTCCCTACTAAGCCCGTGTGGTCCAACAGTACAAACACCCGGCCAACATTTCTTGAGTGCCTATGGTGTGCCAATCCCCTGCACTAGACCTTGGGTAAACCCCGTGAAGTTAAAATAGTGATGCCCTTCAGTAGCCGGAGCTTATGGTCTGATGGGGGGGATATAAGATTCAAAGGGAAATCTGTGCATGAATGGTACCTTCTCATCACTGAGAACAAAACTCTAAGAGTAAAATTTTGTGGTCCTCTACGAAGCACTTAGAAAGCAAGCTCTTTAGGGAGCCTGAGCTGAAAGGTGAGCTATGCCTCCAGCTTGGGAGGTCACCTCTTTCCAACCATGTGTCTTCATCTCCAAGTTCCTTCCATCCTTGGAACAGTCATCTCTGCCCTCCTTACACTTCTGGTCTGTCCTGTGCAGCTTCTTAAGTACAAAAGTAAGTCAACCAGAAGGCAGGTCCTGTCCCAGCCATCCTTCCCAGGTCTGTGTCTGCCACCATGCCAAGGATGCTTTTTCTCAGTAAGCAGCTTGAAGGCCTGCTTCACAGCCCTAGGCATGGAGGCAGAGAAAAGGTCACCCAAAGAGGCAGCTGTGCACGTGTATTAACCACTCATCAAAATCAAATGACAAAACCATAAGCAAGGAAAACAGAAATTAGAAATATAAAAGGCAAATGTCTTCAAAATTTTATTTTTAAAGTCCAGCTGTTATTTGGCTTGAATGTGACAAGACAGCATTTCTTGTTCACCGCGATATTTATAAAGCTACGACTTCACTGGCGCTGGGGACTTAGGAAGCATGGTTAAGGTCCTGTTATGTTTAGAAGCTGATGAAGACTTAACTTGTATGGAGTCCACACAACATTTTAACTTCCCTCTAGGATTTGTAAGAATGGGAAGAGTTGATTAGTTGGGTTTGTGACCTTGTATTAAAAATGACAAACAGCTGTTGAACTGTCCACAGACTTTCCGTGTGGTGTTTCCCCTCTCTCAGCTCTTCATAACCAAGAGTTCACTTCCTACCCTAGTCCTGTGATTTCAAAGTTGAATTTATAATGGAAAGGGCTCTGGCTTGGTTGTTGGAAGGTTTCTAAAACAGCTCCTTTGCTCAATGGCTGGAGACAAGCAACTGATGCCCCAGCATAAGTACCTTTCTCTTTTAGAAGAGGCATGTTGGATTTGATTATCTCTGTGTTTCCTTCCAATCCCATGGCTGTTGTAATGGTCTTCAGAAAACACAGTCTGTTTCTAGTGAGGAAAATGATATATCCACAGGAAGCTCAGTCAGTTCCATTTAGGTTTTCATTTTCAGAGAAATAAGAGAACAATGCCTTCGAGGATATATTTCTGCCACTTGCTGAAGTGAGTTTTCATGTTCTTTGTGCTTTACTGTTTATTAATGAAAACAGCACTTCAGCAGTGTTTGTTACTTATCACAGAGGAGCTTCCCCCGCACAAACTCTCTCCCCATTTCCCTCTCTCTCCATCCTTCTCTCTCCCCTTTCCTCTCCTCCCTCCCCTCCCTTCCTTCCTTCTTCTCTCCCTCCCCCATCTGTTTCTCTCCTCTTTTCTCCCTTCCTTCTCACTCAGTTCCCCTTCTGAACCTGTGGTTTACACTGCTTTGCAGCACGTTTTGTGTAAGAAAATATTGCTTTTGCCCGTTTTCACCTTCACCTTCAGTTACTAGCTGTCTAGCCTTGGAGGGATCTGTCCCTCGTTTTGATGTGAGGAGCAATGGAATATGCTCCTATCATTTAGGGACAAGCTCTGAAGATGATTGCCTTTGGCTGAGTTTTCTAATCTGTATTGGAATTGGACCAGTGTGTTGTCCTCTGTGTGTTAGGCACTCAGGTAGATTTGTTATTTTGTTTTTGTTTTTGTTTCCAGAGCTGAAGACTGAACCCAGGGCCTTGTGCCTGCTAGGCAAGTGTTCTACCACTGAGTTAAATCCCCAACCCTCTCAGGTAGATTTGATGGGAACAGATATCCCATTCCAGGGACTCCCTGTGTATGTGTGTAGCTCTCAGAAGCTCTCCTCAGCTTCCTAAGTGGTGAAATGGATCACAACAAAAGTTGCCTTTCTTAAAGCAACTCCTCTTCCTCCCCATCACCCTCCTCCTCCCCCTCTCCTCCCCTCCTCCTCTCCCTCTTTCTCCCCATCCTCCTCCTTTTCCTCCTCCTCTTCTTCTTTGAACCTCTGGTTGTTCCAGAGTCTTATATCTTAGGTTAGTTTTATTATCCCCAGCTTAAAGCTCTCTGCTTGTA